CAGTAACGGGTATCTTATAGTAGCGGCACTCGACTATAGCGTTTCCTCTTGTTTTTGTTAATTTCTTTTTATTCTAAAAAGTATCGTTACAATCAATTAATGTTTAATTGATCAATTAAGAGTAGGCAAATAGAAACCATTAATTCCCCCACCATCGACAGATATTTGCACTAGCACCTTCATACATTATTTATATCCACCGACGATTTGTTCGTTGTGCTCTTTATTCTTCTAATAAGCTCAATTCTAAATCACTATATTAGGATCTAGGATTAGAACATTTAAATCAGTCTTGGAACAACTCATGTGAGAAAAATAGTTTATACTAGAAGACTATTTCAAAAGTTCATATAACCGGAGAATGCGATATAATTTTGTCATAACATAATTAAGAAAATACTTTTATTTACATAGTAAAAAATTTTTATATGTATAAAAGTCTATACTTTGTCAACCTTTTGTCCAAAAAATAAAAATAAAAAAAACGTCGTTCAGAATAGTTGATTTTTACAACGTAATTTTTTTGATCCACCTATGTAAGAATCTGGACGGAATAATAATGTATAAACAGTATTTGTTGTAGCCCGAGAAACTTTTTGGGTATCCTAAAGTCTATACCATTTTAAATATTTATTTTTTGGATTCATCTTTTAGACTCCACTTATAACTTCGACACCGCGTATTAAAATTATATGCCTAGAGGCTGGCAAGAAATACGACAGACGAATATGGTTTCACAGACCTCGATCTGCTTCTATATCATAATTTCTTAATAGCGCATTGTCAATTAAATTATTGTCAGGTCCTTTAATAGGATTGTTTAATCAGCCGTCTCCACTAATTTTAGGTCCGCTTGGAGATCAGATTCAATAATTTTACGAAAGACAATTTGGTTGGTACAGATGATTTAATAAAACACAAAAAAGTTCCAATAGTTTACTGTCTTAATTAAAGCTTAATACCTTTGAAAGGAAAGTGGTTAAAATTTATCAAAGTTACTTTATAACAAGAAAAAACGCTATAGTCAAGTGCCGCCACAGTTTTTTGCGGTTTGTGTGCGTTATAGTGGCTGCATGAAAATATCACTATGAGCTGCGGCCATCTCAAGAATGTGTAAGTATAATCCGAACTCCCTGGCTCCCTGTAGTTACCGAGAAGTAAGTGTAAGTATGTGCCTAATCGCAACTGTTTATCACTTATAGGTTTCGAGATCTCAGGGTTTCTACAAAAAGCGAAAACTGTTTTTCGAGCTTGGTGGGCGTAAGAGTATTAAGAGTATACATAATTAATAGTTTGTTAGATTTTAGCGATTCGTGAGTTGTGGGCGTCAGAGTGGTTGCTGAAATAAACTTGCGCTAAGCTTGCCCTAAGATCTCAGCGTTCTTACGGAGAGACGGAGGTGGCTTAATCGACATATATATATAGGGTCGGAAACGCTTCCTTCTACCTGTTCTATCTAATCTAATATACCCTTTTACTCTACGAGTACCGGGTATAATCAAAACGCACAGAAGTACAGCTAGTGCAGCACTGAAGGTTTTATTACATATATATATTTATTTATAGTCCCACTGAATACAACCGTTTTCGAAACATATGCATAAATCTGAAGTATTTATATATCAGTTTCTTTTTTTTTTGTCGCACGGAAAAGTAATTTTGTTTTACAACTACATTAACCATGCGTGTCTCAGCTAGTCTCTAATCTCACCTTTTCTCTTGCTATCTTAAAAACAAATATTGAGTCCATGCGATCTTGTGATATAATGCTTCGATTTGAAAAAATACGATCAGACGAATATGGCTAAAGGTTCGGACACGATTTCTTCTACTTGTTACATACTTTTAAATACAAACTAAAACTAATACAATATGCAGGTTTAGCCTACGAGTAACTACTATACAACAAGAATGCCTCTAGAAAAGTATACTCTTTAAAAGATTTGTTGTTGAACACAAAACGAACTAACAACAAGAGGAAACGCTATAGTCGAGTGCCGACACTATAAGATACCCCTTACTGTTTTACACAATTTTAAAATATTAATTTTGCTAGTGGAAATTCCCCAAGCGGAGAAAGCACGTTGAGCAACTGATAGTGACGTCACTGCCCATGTGAGGCCTTATAAGTGAAATTTTTTCATAAATAGCGAAATAATGTTCCGATTTAAAAAATCTTCGGTAAATAGATAGATACTGACAAAAATAAGTTATACAAGGTATCTCTTATAGTTCTCGAGATCTTTGCATTTTTATATTTTCTGGTTTTGTGGGCGTGGCTTGATCGCTTATAATTACCGAGATATAAGGTTTTCCAGAAAATGCGGAAACCGTCTTTTGAGCTTGGGCGTATAGGTGGGTGTGGCCGAACTGTACCACTATAAGATGCGCTGGCATACAAAGATCACTATTCGTGATCAGTATGAACGCTGAGTTCTCAGGAATTATAAGAAATACAAACTTGAGACCGTGAAGCATGAAGATTCTTGAGATCCCTACGCATCGCAAGTTTATTTCAGCATCCTGCCACGCCCACCTTAACGCCCACAAATCACGAAATATCAGGAAGTATTAGAGCTAGAAAGTTGAAATTAGGTATGTGTAATCTTGAGATGCCAGCGCATCTTATGGTGGTACTATTATCCGGCCACACTTACTCTTACGCCCACCAAGCTTGAAAGACGGTTTTTGCATTTTTTTAGAAAAGCTGATATCTGAAAAAAGAAAATCTGATAGAAAGTTTGGATTAAGCATGTAGGTTTTTATGATACTCCCAATACGAATTGTTTTTTCCCATCCACCCTATCGATATCCTTTTTTTTCTTAATTTTTGCAAATCGGAACATTGATTTGCTATTTAAGAAGAAATTTAGGTTATAAGGGCTTACATTACAGAACAGCAAAGTTACCCAACTTCCGGACGAATGTAAACAAATTTGAGTGTGGTATTTTCATTTGGACATCACCAACTTGTGAAACATGACTCAGCTTTAACATTTTTGTAATAGCGTTTAGCTGTGTGTTTACAAGAAGTTTCTTTGGCAGCGCCGTCGTATTTTGAGAGCATTTTCCTGGCCATGGCCAATAGCGGTTCATTACTCCCAGCTGTCTCTCCTGGTCTGGCTATCCGTCCGAGACTGCTAAGTCGGTATTGCACCTAGTTGTGTTTGGTGTGGCAACATTGCCTTGGGTCGAATTGGTGTGCTGGCCAGCATTGTTTTCCCAACGAGAAACTTCTTTTTTAGACAGTCATTTTTCAATTGGACCAATTTTAGCTGACGCTTCAGGGCGTTCACCTGCATAGAAATTTCGAGAACATTGATGTTGTTCTCGATGTTGTCCCCTGGCAGAATGGCTCCGTCGTCAAGCTCCAAGCCGCTATTGGCGGTCTCTTCTTCTGAATCGGCAAACGAAGGGCAAACTCCACGGTCTTCAGGAGGTAACCAGACAATTGCGCAGATCAGATGCAGTGTAGTCATCGGCACACCCATGGTTTCCATTTCCTCCATCCACACATTTTCCAGGTCTGCATGATCCAATATGCTTGGACTCATAGCACTGGCCTTTGCAGTGCTATCGCCATTATTAAATTTTGCAGCTCCATTGCATCAACATCAACATCCTATTTCGAGATAATAACATCTCGTACAGTTGTCCCGGGTCAATTTCGGATTTTTTGCCTGACCTCAGAAGTTGATTGACGGTTTTGGAAATTTTGTTAATTTGGTCTTGTACCTTATTATTAATATCTATTTGCCTATTGTTTGCATTTATTAATTGGAATTCCGTGAATTTAATTTTTTTCAAAATCAACCGCATCTTCTGGTGTCCCTGCAACTACTTTCAACTCTGTTCCCAGGAAATCTAAGCTCCTAGCTACTCTATGGTGAATGCTCAACGAGTCGAGCAGGTTGCGCATGTGATTGGGGGAACATGTTGGTCATGCCATCAGTTTCCTTTACCACGCGCCCATATTCCGACAGATTCGCAGTGTGCCTTACAAATTCGTATTCCTCCCACACTCCAAGTCTCCTGTTGGATTTTCCTAAGACTTTGTCGCCAACTTCGAAAACCCTGTTCTGACGCGAAATGTTTTCCCTGGCTCTAAGCGTGTTCTGGGCACTTTTAATTTTGTCGCAAATGTCTCGTTGCATGTACTCATTCTCATTTTGTATAACGTCGGCTGGCCTAGCTCTCTTATTGAAGGCCGAGTGGATCGACTTGTTATACTTGGTGGTGGCTAGCAAGATCCCAACCACGGTGTCAATAATGCCTTTATCAATCTTTAGGCATCTTGCTAGCTCGAGAAGAGTGCTGTGAAAGCGCTCCACCTGACCATTAGAGACACTGTGCAGGGGTGGCGCATTTGAAATGGGGTTTTCCTTCACTTTTCGGACAATACGTCTCTGCTCGTGGTCATTAAAAATTGTGTTCGGAGCTTCACGGCCCTTATCTGCCACCCGATTTTCGCAAAAAAGCGTTTGGGTTATGTATGGGTTTGTATTAGGGCTTGAGGCAACCATTTCCTGGGATTTCCCATCCTTAAAATGTTTAAGGACTAATTCGCTTTGCTCAATAACTATTGACTATTATTCGTGGCGCCATAGTTTGAAAATCCACGTTAATCCGTAATTTTTGGGTGCCCCCAGCCTCGAAAACTTATAAATATGCTTTTGTTAATATATTTTTACTAGTATTAAGAAAAAAAAATGGAATTAAAAGTCCTAGTTTAGAGTTATTAACCGTTAAAGTGCTTGCACGAAATAAGCTTGTGCGTCGGAGCTGCCCTATTTTTTAGTTTTTGTATGAAAAATTCTTTTGTTTTTTAAATTAGTAAAAACTTTTGTTATTATTTTAATAATATGCGACATTCTTAACATTAAATTTTTTTGATATAGTCGCAGTATCAAATTAAAAATTCGAGTTTTTCTTGCACGAAATAAGCTTGGATGCACTGTAAGTCGTTTGTCAACTTCCACCATCAAAAAAAGAATGAGCTATTTATTCTATATGGTACACCTCATTTGCGCATTTGCCCTCTGGTGCCATTAATAAATTTTATTTATAAAAAAAAAAATCCATTACAGCGAGCCAACACGTAATTTTCGGCAATACAATGAAGAAATTGAATTATTTCACCTCCTTCACTTGAAGTCCTGGTGGAAGGGACTGCTTAATTTTATCGGCTTTTTCTTTGTCCTGAACGACAAGGGTATAAAGAAACCGTGAGCAACGAATTTTGAATTTGGTGTTTGTCGGATTCTTCTTAATTTTTACAGCACGGGCATCCGAACGGCGTGCTTTATTAAGAAAGTCTTTGACTTCTTTAATTTCTCGAGGCATCTACATAAAAAAGTATATTTAGGTCAAGAAGTATTTTTGTACCATTGAAGACTTACATTGACTAAAAAAAATCAAAGACTGGCAAATATCCGTACTGAATGAGGTAAACCGCTAAGGCAAAGGAAAGGAAAATCATTTTATTTCCGGTTAATAGATGGAAAAGAACACTGTTGCATTTTAAGAATCGAGTATTAGAGTATAGGTGCCAAGATAGCATCACACTAAAGTTATGTAATATATGTAATCATGTTTACACTAAATATTCTCTTGTGTCTAATGGGCATAATAACATATACGATAACATATATATATTAGCTCTAAAGTTTTATAAAATTTTTAACTCATTTCCGAAAATTTAACTCTAAACTATAACATTTATTACAGATGTAATAAGAGTGTATTACGTGGTGCTACAATATATGCAAACTTAAAACTTCCGCCAACTGACGCTGAAGTGTGTAAACGATCTGTTCTAGTGTATGAAATATTTTAGATATCGAAAGCAACGATATTTTGGTAAAATAATTTTTAGTTGCTCGACAAATAAGCACACTGCACATAAAGGGGGCACTCTACGCTAATTTGATAGCACTTCCAATTTTCGTAGATATGGAAATATAGGAATATGCTCGCCGTCGCGGAACGAATAAGGTAGGCCAGTTATCGATAGTGACTATCGTATTCAGTATTTTATTTGTAATTGTTTGTAATCGGCCACAATATTGTTGTGGTCTAATTAATGTTGACCTCGTGGTTATTCCGAGCGGTAGAGCTGTAAACAATTATACTTCTTGAGAATCGATTCTTTTCGATTCGATTCTCAAAGTCGAAATAAAGAAAATTACTAATGAAAAAGGCACATTTTGCTTAAAAATGCTAAGGAAAACACCAAATTTACAGTTGCAAACAAAAGTAAATTTCGTTAAACAATTTCTTTGAGAAAAATGTTTCTGTTTATTTATTTAAAACCCATGGGCTTTTATTGTAATTACAAACTTATCTACGTTTTTTGGGTTTTAAGGACGCTCTGCGGTCGGTGACTGCATCCAGCGCGGATAACAGTTTACATTATTTATTTGGAAAACGAACATGGTTATTAGGGTTGTTGATAATATATCAAAATATCAATATATCGATATTTTTTCCAAAAATGATATATTTATATCGTGATATTTTTTTTGGCCAAATATCGAAATCATTATATTGTTTTTTGATATTATTTTGATATTTTTTCCTTTTCCTTTCCATTTTAAAGCGTTGATTACTTTATTAGATAGAAAGATAACGGAAAAATGAATGTTAAATCAAATTACACAAATATAACAGGCGGCACCGCCAAGTGCATTCATTGTACTAAAACAATAAAGACCAGCGGAAACACATCGAATCTGTCGTCGCACTTGCGCAATAAGCATAGCGAAGTTTTTGCAAAATGCGCGCAAAAAAAGGTATGTATGTATGTATGTAAGGCATGTGTGTGTATGAGTATGTGCGTCTATGGGTTCCAATGAAATTCCAATTCCAATGAAATATACAAGAAATACATTATATTCATTTGTTTTAATTTTTAGCGACGCTAGAAGCAGAATGACCGACATACACATCAAACAAAGAGTATTTTTAAATTCTTTAAATTCCGCAAATTGGGTTTAGTGTTAAATTTGCTTTAGCTAAAATAATAATTAAAAAATTTATAAATTTATAAAACTTGTTTATTTTTTATTATGCAAAAAAAAATTTTTTAAAATATTATCATCATATTTTTTGATAAAAAAAATATCATCGATACGATATTTTAAAAATATTCGACAACCCTAATGGTTATCCATCTCTCATTTTTTTTCCTCAACACTAACACACACTGATTCTAGAAGTGACAAATTGTTATTAGGTTACTTGAGGTATATTACTTTAAAAAAATTTTATCGCTTAAATTTTGTTTTTTGTCGGTGAACAAACTTGTCGATGCATCGGTTCCCTAAATAAAGAATCGATTTTTTCGTTCATCCAAAAAGATCGATTAAATCGGTTTAAAAATCGAGTTGTTTACAGCTTTACCGAACGGGGATTCCTTGAAAGAAGGGGGGAGATACTGAGGAAAATATAATATAAGTAGAGGATATATCTAAGTTTTTTCCACATATTTTTTTTGTTTCATTGAAGTGTGATGTGTTAGAGATTTAATTTTTTAGAATTCAGATTGGCGTCATTTCATTTATTCGCATGCTTTGAGTTGGAACTCTGAAGGCATTTTGGAAGCGCGAATACACAGCTAAAAGTGGCACATGCTGACGATTAATGGAGCCCGGACTTAATTAATCTGAAGCTACCGCAGGTAGCAGGTAAAATATCGATGTACTTGATATTTTTTGTGCTTAATAAATAAATTTCCGCCCACAATAAAAACACAACAAGTTTCTTAAAGAAATAATATTATTATTATATATATGTTATGCATAATATTCAGTTTTAAGTTTTTAAGCACTCCCTTTACGTTATGTGTGCGTTCGTCATCCTGCTTCTGGCGTCGGATACAACACATTTGATGGCGGACGCAAGCCGCTCTAAAGGCACTAAACTTCCTGGGGTAACTAGATACTTCATGGCTTGTAGAGGCCCGGCATAGTCGCTTTATTTGATTTCCACACTTTAAGTGGACTTCTTTTCTATGCAGCACTCGGTGACGCTTTGGAATTATGAGTGACTAGAGGTGCAAAAACATCGATTCTATCGATGTTTGCAAATCATCGGAACCAACGATGCGTGGCCACCACCATCGATGTTTTTTCACCCAATTTTGCGCTTGGTGGTAGCAGACAAATAAATTGTAAGTAAGAGAAGTTTTTAATTGTTTTTCTATAATTAATTAAATATTTATGTCGACGGTCGAACATTGTAATCGGTAGGTAGAATATTGGTAGGAAAATGCAGTATTTCTTAAGTTATCCGATCTTGTGTGGATTTCGTGGCCCTTTGAAGTACGGGCCTACTGATCTCGGTAATGTGAATGCCTCCGAAAAAGTGCCTTTTCATTGTCTTGTTTGTGTCTTGTTGCAGGAGGGTACACTGCGGAAAGTTTAAGATTAAGATTAAGATTCTGTAAGGTGAGGCTAATTTAAGCAATTTCAGAATAATACCGCTCGCCACAGCCACGGCCATAGGCCCTTAAAGTTATACCCGTTCCCTACCTACGCGTGTGAGGAGCCGTTAAAGGCAACTTCACATGAGGCAAGATAACTCCTTTTATTCGCAGACCTAGAAAGACTGCAAGGGCAACTTGCGCTGGTGGACGGCTTGACGACCAGCTAGAGAGTTGCCAGGAGCACTCGGAGCGCAGTTTCCCGTACCAGTAGAGGAGTCGCAGCCAGCGGCATAGAGGGCACAGCCAGCGCTGAAAACTGGGTACGGACGGAGTCGCAGCCAGCGACAGGGAGACGCAGCCAGGGTCGGTTGAGGAGACCGCAGCCAGCGGTCAGGAGGCACAAGGAGCGCCAAGCATTAGCGGGCAGAAGGCACAGGTCCATCATTTTAAAGTGCTGAGGCAGCACCATATTTGGACCTGAGATGCAGCATTTCCCCAGGAGATGTTTCCGGCTGAACGGAGGGGAAGCCACCCCTACAACAACGCGATCGGATCAGCAGCCAGCGAGTAGTGGACCAGAAAACCGGCCTTGAACAGTGTGATCTCCGCCAATCGCAGTTAGCTCAAGCGCAAATGGCGCCCACAGTGGAGCGTCGGGGTGGTCGCCATCTTGGTGAGGCCCCAATTAACGGGGTTGGGCCGGTCGCACATAGCGGTGTCGGTGCGAGCAGTGCGGCCTGCACGCTGCCGCCATCTTGGAGTGGACCGCCATTGCTAATGACTAGCAATCATCTTGTGGAGCCACTGTGTGCTACAAGTGCTGCGTAGACAGCGCATGAATTCTTGCTACCGGGCGGGAGCATCCACAACGTGGCAACTGAATCGCCACTTGTTGGATCCTACTCCTCGATGATGCCGAATTTAGCCCAAGGAGTGAATGGGCTAAGGAGGCTCCCGGACTTGCCTGTATTTGGAGGGCAGCCCGAGGAGTGGCCCATCTTCAACTGTGCGGTTGTGGAGCCGACCCAAGCGTACAACTGCAAGGACTTGGAGAACAACCAGAGGTTGTTGAAGGCGCTAAAGGATGAAGCACGCGAGACAGTGAAGTCGCTGCTGATTCACCCTGGGAACGTCAGCGCCATGATGGAGCAGCTGCGGTTTAGGTTAGGCCGACCGGAGGAGCTTATACGCAGCCAGCTGAACAGCGTGCGCGCGGTGACGCCGATTACGGAGCAGCACCTGGCGAGGATCATTGCCTTCGCAGCCCGAGTGAGTAACCTCACGGCCCTATTGCAGTCGGCGAAGGCGGAGCAGCATCTGGGGAGCTCAGCCCTCATGGAAGAGCTTGTGGTAAAGGTACCTACGAGCAAGCGAGTGGATTGGGCCAGGCACGCTGCATCGATCAAGCCCTTTCCCACATAAGCGCACTTCGGCGCGTGGCTACAGGAGTACGCAAACATCGTGTGTACGATTTTGGACGGCGGGGGAAAGGAGTCGAGGCGTCGAGTTCTACATGCGAGCGTCGACCAGAACGGATGCGAGCAGCGGGATGATCGGCATGGAGGTTGACCAATTTGTGGAGGGCAACATGCTACGACGACCTGCAGAGAGTTCATCGGAGCTTCGCCACTGGGCTGCACCTGCATGGTGAACAGGCATCGGCTCTGCTTTACATGCTTACGGAGTGGTCATACGGTCAGATCCAGCGATGTGCATGGCGAGTGCCAGATCAACGGATACAGTCAGCAGTTTCCAGACGCAGCCCGGACAGGAGGTCTTCGCCACGAGGTGGTTACAGGGACCACGAGAAGAGCCAGCAGTCGGCTGTCCTCAGAAACAGCCTGGAGACGCCGAGGAAGGCCGACTTTTGTTCCGTATATTGCCAGTAACGCTGAACGGAGCTGGTCACCAGGTGGACACATACGCGCTCTTGGATGAAGGATCCTTCGTCACGATGCTCGACGACGAGCTACGGGAGTGCGAGTGCTGAACATCCAATGGTTTGGAGGAAGGGCCAGCAGGGAGCCCACCAACGTGGTGAGCCTGGAGATAAATGGAGCTGGAAAGCCCACTCTCCACGCGTCGAGCTTGAGTCTGCCGATGCAGACGTTATGTCGACGAGATCTCCATGGGCGTGCATAAGGATGCGCGTCTGCCGATGAAGCCCTACAGCAACAGCGTGGTGCCGAAGTTGCTCATCGGACTGGATCATGCACATTTGGGATTGCCACTTAGGACGAGGCGGTTTGCCAGAGTGGGACCGTAAGCGGCCGCAGCCGAGCTTGGATGGGTTGTGTTTGGGCCAGTAAGTGGACAATCGACTACTCCGTCACCGAGGTCCTTCCTTCTAGCCGTGTCAATGGACGATACGATGAAAAAGATGGTGGAGAACTACTTCGAGATGGAATGCTTTGGTGTAAAGCTCGCGCTACTGGTAGCAGCCAGCGACGACGCGCGTGCCCAAAGGATCCTCGAAGACACCACGGTGAAAGTGGGGCGTCGCTACCAGACGGGATTACTCTGGAAGGACGACCACACTGTGCTGCCACGGAGCTACGAGATGGCACATAGACGGCTGATCAAGGTCGAGAAGAAGTTGAAGCGCAACGGGCAGTTGGCGCTGGAATACGATCGGATCATCAAGGATTACGTATCCAAAGGATATGCAAGGAAGCGGTGAAAACCGACAAGCTATTGTTTTTGCCACATTTTGGTGTCGAAATCCCGAACAAGCACGGTGTTGTTGGTTGATGTGGATGGATGCAGAATGGACAACTACCTGAAAAGTAAGTTTTTAATCAGCTGCAAATTTACTTACACACATGCAATTTTAAATTTGGTGCAAAATTAAGTCATGTCGCAACCAATTGGCGCCAATACCTTGTTTTATTATGTCATTGATAAAATATTCAGAATAACATATAAATTACTAACATACCTTATTTATTTATTTGGTTCTGGTTCTGGCACAGATTTATGGGCTATTATGCTGTCACATTAGTGATAAAAACATGGTTTCCCCCACCCCGAACCCCATTATCCGTCGTCTCCTGTGATAAGGATTCCCCCTCACCCTTTTAGTCAGTATGGATTCTGGCACAGAAAACATAAACCCATAAATTATAGTTTTTAAAATCAGTGCACGTGCTCAAAGAAGTAATAAAATGTGACGATTGTGTCATGATTAGTTTTCCGACCCCCTTATCCGTTATTTGGGAATATTGAAATGTATTCCTGACCCTTATTAGGAGGATTGGGAACGTCTTAAGGGGTTGAATTTTCTCAAAACACACTGTCAATTTCTATATATGTAAGCCTCTCTCTACGTATGTATGGTTGAGTGGGAATCCCAGATGTGTGTGAACAGGGTCGGATACTTATCACGATATGGAGAACCGATATACGTTCATGGACGCACCATAATAAAATTGTCAAGTGCATAGTCAATTATAAGTCAATGTTTCAAGTTGTTTATTCAAATTTCAGATTTTTTAGATTTCAATACTTTTAACAAAGGGTCACAGACTAAATAGTTCGCTTTTCAGTCGTCTTTTCTTAACGCTCGCATATCTCACCGTAATAAAAATGTCAATACATATGTTATTGGGTAAAGATGGACCAACTCAATTAACTGAAGGAGGAAAGGGATACAAGGAGTGAAACGTTGCAATAATTGTTTTCTGAAAACTTGTTTCTAAGACATTTCTATTCATATTTCAAAGTGGAAAATTCAAACGTAAAAATCTTTTATTTTTTCATGCCCATATTAACTGAAATAAATAAGACAAACATTTACTTTATCAACAAATGTATTTATCTAATTATTTTCTTTATTTCAGTGATTTTGTTTTTACTATATAATGAAATCAATATTTAATTATCTGAAATAAAGTTATATAGTCTGAAATACTTTTTTGTACTGTTTATTTTCTATTTTCTAAATTATAATATATATTTATAATGTTTGCTGCCTCCCTTTCGTACTCAAAATTTTTATGACATCCACAAGTGTCGATTCCGTCCGTAGCTGAATCCTAACTCCAGATACATGTTTTTCGGTGTACACCATGGATAGAAGTTATCATTTCAACTTCTTCACACTCAAGTAGTTTTGCATTTATAAAGAGATGTCGCAGATAGTGAGAATATAGTAGAACTCCATTAAACTGATTGAGAAACAATTTAATTTGATCAGAATACATAATGTACATCCAAAAAAAAGAAATGATGCTCTTTACCACCTGCTTACCGAATTTATTCTAAATAAATTTCTAGTTTTCTTCATCTTTTCTACCCTGACTTGTAGATATCTTAAATCCTGCAAATGAAAAGTCATTAATTTCAATTTATTCCAAGTCCATTTTTAAACTCGGCTTCTATTGGTTACTTTTTCTTAAAAAATCTTTATCATGAAAAAAACTATTTCTACTCTCTTCTAACTACAGTTCATCAATTTTTAAACTCACAGTCTATTGGTTTTCCTTTTCTTGAACAATCTGCACCTTGAAGAAACTATTTCTTATCTATTTTAACCAAAGGACTTTATTTTTAAAACAGAGATTTCGTTTGGTTTGTAACTCCTAGACTTCTAAAATTTGTGAACGCCCACTTTAAAATTGTGTACAAAATCGGAGAATTTAATTAGTTCCTTCCAAGACATTCTCCGGGAAACATTGAAGTGTATCAAGTATCATAAAATAAATTAAAAAAAGAAAAATCAAATAATAAAATAAAAAACAAAAGCGAAAACAATCAAAAACAAAAACAAAATGAATAATCAATTCGAGTTTTGTTATTCGTGCCAATTGTTTGTCATTAAGAACAAGTGGACAAACCATGTCCGCACGGAAATGCATATTAAGAATGCAATTCAACCCGTCGATTGACGCATCAAGAAAATTTCGGAAGGATTTAAAGGAGGGATTCTCCATTACATGTATGGTAACGATGGACCGGACATTTTAAATTCAATTCCCATTCAATTACCTGAAAACTTTATAAGTGAAGCAGGATCGTTTTTACTCACACATCTCAGAGCATTATTAGAGATTTATATATCGATAAAAGTAAATTTCGAGTTATTTGCCGAATATATACTCTTTAAGAATGAAACGGAAGAAATTGAGATTAAAAGTTTTCAGAGTATTATGACTGTTCACGCCAAAGCGGCCCAATTCCAGTTCGCCTCCTGACCGGCCCTGGGGGCCTTAACAGTCGTGAGAGCACTTCTTCCAGATCGCTCTCATCTCGCTCTCCCGCACTGTTAAGGGTCTCCACTAGAGTTAAGTCCTATACTAATTTAACACTGTACGAAGACGGTTGACTCCCGTAAATAAAAAGTGATAAAATTGCGATATATCTGCCGTGTGAAAATGTAATCCGTCCCACTCCACCATTATGATCCTTCGAGCCGGATCTTCCAGGAGACGATCAAAAACCACACCATCGTTCAACAGGCGGATTTTTCAACTCAAGCAAGATAAGTACAAATTTTCCATATTTCCATTGCCGACCAGTCAGATATTTCCCACGAACCCAATTTTCTTAAATCTGTCTGATCGGCTATTTCCATTTGGGCATACGATCTCCATATTCCGGCTTCTTTTTTTCGTATTGCTATTTCCATTTATGCATACTCTTTGATGTATGTTTTTCAACAGCAATCTATTATATTATATTGTACATAAAGAAGCAACACACATTCGTTCATACGGCACACCCGACAAAAATTTCAATAGCAATCTGTTATATTATATATTAAATATATAATATATTATAATATTTATTATCAAAATAATCTGATGCCACGAACCCTTCGACACTGCAAGCCCGTCCAACATTAGCATAATACGTATTCCAGCAGCGCTATTTCGCACACGCCATCGGTTCACATCCATTAAATAAATAAATAAATAAAATTTGTTTCTTGTTCAAGCCGTGGCGGTGCGAAGTATATTTGTTTCCATATTTCTGGCTCTCATTTCGACAGCTCAGCAAATATGTGTTCCGTCATTTTTTCTTGTTATTTACGTATACATTAAAGCGGTTGGTTCCAAATCTTTTAAACGTTACAACGGTTCAGCTTCCACATATTCCAAAGGAAGACCGGAGCTGTCACCGTGCGTCGTTCCAGTTATTTTTAAATCCACCCCGGTGATCCGCAAGAGCGAAACCGTATTCCAGGACAAACTTTGAGGGCGGGTCTGATTCCTACGAAGCCACTCAGGGTTGCTCAGTTAATCTGATTCCCGGAATGCCCGGAGACAAAACAAACTTATCGGTTCCGTCTGCAAATATAACGCGATCGCTATCCGCATCTCCTCGCGCGCGCACCTCAAGCCTAGTAGCTTCAAAGCCAACAACGAAGACAAGGAGCGAAACTTCATTGGCCACCCAAGAAGGCAACAAGAAGTGGTCTGTTCCTACGATCCATCAGAAACGATTGGCTCTAAGTCCGCTAACGCCTAAGGTTAGGTCACAAATCCAGACCAAGTCAGTAAAGTCGCTAACAACTCGTTCTCAGGCAAAAATGAGCGACGACATCGCATTTGCAGCCCTCGTGCGGTTCATCACGGTGTCCGACCGGATGACCCATTTCAGAGCGACCATAGAAACTCCTTGACAATCAGCTCCGTCCGTCCACACCTGCAAGGTCCGTAAGGAACAAGTGCACTCACTCTGGGAAAAAGCCGAGAGAGAATTTGAAGCGTGTCTAGACACGATTTCCAGCATTACGACTGAAGGAGCGGAGGAGATTCTGGCGACTCTGCATCGAAAATATGAATATTGCTATTCGGTGTACGAAGAGCTATCGGTTCAGCTCAGCGAGCTCATGGACCAATCCACTCCGCAACATTCAAACTCCGCCCTTCCACCCAATCAGTCCAACTACGTTCCGTCTGGGTGCCGGTTACCGCGACACTGAAGTAATGGAGGGAGATTATCTAAAATGGCCAACATTTAGAGATCTTTTCACAGCAATTTATGTCAACATTACTCGGCTGACACCGGTCGAAAACCTTTTCCATCTTAACGCTAAAACTAGCCGGGAGGCTAAGGCAATCGTAGCCAAGTCCCCTCTCACAAATAAGGGTTTCGCTTCAGCATGGGCAGCGCTTCGAGACCGTTTCGAAAATAAGAGACTGCTAGTACACAGCAACTCCTTATTAACTTAGGGTCCGTCAATTCCGAATCAGGCCAGGCTCTGAAAGATCTTCAGAGCACAATCCAAGGGTGTTTGATCGCTCTGGCTCATTCCGACTTTTCCACTGAGATCTGGGACTGTCTCCAGGTAATCCTGTGCGCCAGTAGATCAGTAAAGCAGTCTCTTTCTTCCAAGTCTGACATTCCGACTTGGGATGAGATGAACACGTTTCTTGGTGACCGATACCGAACGCTAGAGGCGATTGAGGATATGACACCAAGCCTCAGCAATCACTCTAGCACTAAGAGTCAACCCGTCTCCCGGAAGCTCAACTCTTTCGAAGCTAAGGTGGTCACAAAACCAAAGAATTGCGATCTGTGCGCAAGAGAGAATCATCCCGTACGCTTATGCCAGCGTTATCTCCAGATTTCTAACGATGCGCGAACCAACTACATCAAACAGAAACAGCTTTGCTTAAATTGTTAAATTGTAGCTGTTTCACATGTCGAGCGCGGCATCATACGTTGCTGCATAAAGGCAACCCCAATTCCCGTGGGCCAACTGACGGGAATAGTTCTTCGCTAAGTTCACCAAATCCAGCTGTACAGGGGGCCGCCAACGGTTTAGAAAATCTGCCCGGTGTGCAGAATCAAATTAAGATGCCATTCCGCCTCATCCAAGTTTCGGGTTTAAATCAGACCGTTTCTGCCCAGTCAACACGGCTTTGCCATTTCGCCATTCCTCCTCCTACTAAGCCGCAGCGTATGTTCTGCCAGAATTAGCAGGCAGATTACCCTCACATTCCACTCCACAAGATGTCCTGAGAGATTTGTCAAACCTTCAATGGGCAGATCCCACATGTCTCCAGAGTTCCCAGATAGACGTTCTTATCGGAGCTGATATTCTTCCATCCGTTTTGCTGAGCGGAAGGCGCACAAACATTTGAGGCTCTCTCCTAGGTCAGGAAACTATTTTTGGCTGGGGGCTCACCGGCCCAGTTTCTAGTACTTCGAGCCAAGAGGGGGTATCAGCTTTCACGACCCAGATAACCGACACGACTGACAAGGTCGTAGGAAAACTTGTCACTAAGTATTGGGAGGTCGAGAACATACCCACAAAAGAGGAACCCAAGCAGTCCAATATTCAAGAAGAATCGATGACTACATACATCGAAGCCGCAGTTTTTGCGCCTCCTGTTATCGAACCTGTTTTGGAAGAAAATCCACCAGCCAGTTCGGAAGTAAATGCTTCACAAGTTCTGTCCACAAGTAAAGTAGATCAGGGAGAAAATATTTATTCGGCTCCATCAGCGCCAGTGGAGCAAGAGATTCCATTATTCGTGCCAGTGCCATCTTTATCGGGGCAAAGTCCGGGCATACCATTGTATCCGCCACCACCAACAGCTGCACCATCACCGACTTCAAGGGCTGCACAGTTCGTTGCTGAACCAGCATCTTCATCAGTTTCATCGTTCTTTTCCCATGCTGGAGAGGATTCTGCTGCATCCTTATTTTCTCCACCTACAACATCTACATTATTTGTCCCCTTACCAACAACCCAATCAGCACCAGCTGCCACAGAAGAACGAAAATCCGGCGGAGGACT